ATGGTAATTTAATTTTATAAATTAATAATAAAAGATTACTTATTCTTGCTTTTAAGAAGGTGATTAAAGTTTTTAATATTAATTAAAGCGGGAAATACAAAACAAAGATTTTCGCAAAAATTTCGAAAACGAATCGATCAATTTAAAAAAAATAAATACTAACATGTAGTACCTTAAAAGACCTTTAAAATGAGGTATCACTTGACACCCCTTTCCATTTAAGATTTTTAAGGGGTTGGTTTCTGGCGGCGGGGGGTTGAAGTGAGTGAGTCAATTTTTGCATAAAAAGTTGTCCCCCTTGGTTTTATTCTTTACCTATTTCAGCGATTTTCTTTTTAAACTTCCGGATTTACAGAAATTGAGGTGGAAAGTTTTGAAATGAACACTCTGTATATCACCACTAGATTTGGTTAATGAAAATACGGCTAGTGAACACTATTTAAAGAAAAAGGCCTATGTAAAGAATTTTACATTTTCCGTAGGTCAAATCATAACCTATAAGGTTTGATCGCGATTCCCGCTAAATGTGACTGTTTTTCTCCTGCTATCATATAAAATTATATAGTTATATAGTTTTACGTTCGTGTGATGTGAGATAAGATGGAAAGAAAAAAATTAAAGCTGAATATCTCTAGGAGACATTTTCGTAGATTCATAAACGTTGTCACCTGTATGTTGCAGAAACATTTCAATAGAAACGTTTTAATGAAACATAAGAAGGGCCGGACATTAGCAGTTTCAGGCACGTTTCAACTATGTTTCAGAAATATGTCGAAGAAACATTTCATGTTTCAATAATATGTATCAGAAATGTTTCTGAAACGCAAATTTGTTTACTGGGATATCGTCCGCGTAGCGCAAATTACTTAAGCATTTGCAATCAATGTTTATACCTTTTTGGGTGCAAACCAGTTGTTTAAATGCACTCTGAGGACTGTGATGAACAATTTGGGTTTAATAGTGTATCGCCTTGTTTTACTCACAATCAATACTTTACTACTTCTACTCTCTTCAGTACTTTCATTTTACCGTCATTGTACCATGCTTGTAGATGTTATAAATAAGTTTGGTATATCGATAATCGACTCTGCATTCTTGAAGTGCTTGCAAAGCTGCTATCAACTCAATTTAAATTAAATTTTATAAATACCTCTAAATACCCATCTTGGATCAATACCCCCGGGTATATATCCAGGAAATTTACCCTTGAAAATAAATACCCGGGTATTTAACAACGCTGGTTAACAGTACATCTGGAAATAAAAACCGTAAACCACACTATAGAGAAATTTGCCAAGAGTTATGAGGAAAGGATACATCGTCAAGTTAACATCGAAGTTCTCCTTCTTTCTGAATTAAATAGAAAACTCAAGAGTAAAGGAATTAACGTATTTGAATTAATAACAGTAGCTAACAGTAACTACGTTATTTTGAATTAAAGTAGTTACTGTTAGCGTTGATAAAAAGCAGTGGTTCTATGTAATGTAATGACACACACTTCAGTTAAATCTCACAAAAAAATATAGATTACCAACTTGACGCTATAAATACATTTACGTGGTTTCCGGTAAATCTTATCCACAGTAAAATAAATTAACACATAAAACCCGTAGTAATCACGTCGTCTCCGTGACAAACTTCGTAACTCGCTCATTAGGATTTTCGCTGTATTACAAAATAAATTACGACAATCTGGTTAATTGACTCGCTATGGAATTCTCTTCATAAATTACACGATACAAGTTGACACTCGGTTTTCAAGTTTTAACAAGTAGTTAACCTCTTGTTAACGAGACGTGAATTATTATTACAATATTAAAGTAAATTTATTATCAAATGAATAAGTTATAAGTTTATACATATAGGAAACGAACTAAATAAAAATTATTTTTTTTAATAAATCCAGGAACTTAGTTAAAGCAAACAATGTTTAGAATCTATTTCCAGAGTTTCGGATTCTATTTTTAAACAACACCGTCACAAGAATCTTACTAAAATTAACTCGGACACGTCACCGTAAATGCAGCCTTCTCGTTCGAAGCAACGATTTCCGTTTAAAGATACAACGCGAGAACAAAACTTTGTTCTAAGTACTTAATATTTTTGGCAAAGGATGCGCAAGTTCTTTATATTACAATTGAAACACATATTTAACACGTTAAAATAAGTGTTTTGATAGCAGCAATTGTGCAAAAATAAAATCCGATTTCACAAACCACAATGTTATTGCGTCCTTAAAAATCTTGTAATCTGTCGCTTGAATGTATTCTTTGCACTTGCTCTCGCGAAGTTTTAAAGCGTTTGTTGATGCATTTCTTGCCAAAGAAAACTTTATTGCACTCTAAGTTATAAAATAATGAATCGCCTTTACTTTTATGTTTATTGTATATTTTGGGTTAAATTAAATTTCCAAACATCTTTATTTGCTTAAAAGAAATCTTCTTTAAACACTTTCCAAAGGTTATTATTCATTATTAATTAACGTGCTTATGGTGTAAAGTAAAGTAAAGTAAAGGTTTATTACCCCGCGTACGCTAATTTATTCATGTGGGCTTAACTAAAATCCTTTTGATGTCCTACCGGTTAATTAATAGCCTTCGTGTTTGCTTTTAAAACACGGAATTAGCGCGACTCTAAGCAAAAGATTTAAATGATATACCGCTTTCTATTTAGTTAGTGTATTTTAATTTTTTGTTTAATATGTTTTCAGTGAAGAAGTTGATTTATTAGCCAGGGCATTGGGCTGCAAATTGATCAGAACCTCCGTAAAAGAAGACGTAAATGTAGCAGCCGTTTTTAGGCATTTAGCCGCAAGATGCCTTCAGGAAATGCGAGAACCTCGCGATGATTATTTTGTTGCTCCCAATGGACATCATCCAGTTACGATTAGTAAGTACAAAAAATTGTTTTGATTATAAAAAGTGATTCATTTGATTAAAATTTTGCGTCATAAAGTAACCTTTCGCAACGAAAAAAAAATCTACAACGTAACAAGTTTATTTTCGCCAAAAACTAAATACGTGGGAATATTTACGTTTCTAATGTATCTTTGCCAAAAAACTTCACCTCATTTTAATGAGGATCATTGTATAGATAAATGGTAATTCATTAAGACAGCTACAAGATTTATTACTTTTAGTAATTAAAATAATTTTATTAATCTTTATTTTTAGGTGCCTTTAATACTAGTCACCCATCAAAAAATCAAAATGGCACGATTATCCTGCGACCTAATAAACACAAAAAACGAAAGAATGTGCTAAAAAGTGCCTGCAGATTGTTTTAAAAAAAGAAGATCCGAAAATAAACCTACAAAACGATGCCCAACCACCAAAAGTGCTACTTTTAGTCACCTTTATTGTAATATAATTTTTTGTTTTGTAATTTTTCCCCTCAGTTTGAAATTTTTTTTAATCAATAATCATATTCAGGCCAATGGTGAAGTGCTAATAATATAATAATATTGATTGTATCACCTTAAAAAAAACTGATTATTTTAATCGTATTTGTAAATATTCTTGCCCGACAAAAAAATAAACGTTCAAATAAAATTGTTTAAATAAACAATAAATCGAGGATGTTGTATACACAAACACACATAGTATTTTTTTTTTCTTATTTTCGTACCTCGTTATGTATGTATATGTATTTTAATTTATTCGCATCATGATGTGTATTATTATTATTCTCTCCTTCTTTTCACTTTCTGTTACGTTATCGTTTTATTTATGAATTTACTCTTAAGGTTTTTTTTTCTGAATTACGCCCTTAATTTGTATAAAAAATCATGGATTTTACGTATTGTATATGAAATAACACTATTATCAATCAATAAAGAAAAAATTTAGTCTACTGTTTTAGTTGTTTATATTTTTATAACGATGTAAATTGTCACATAATGAACAACAATAAAATTGTGTCAAATATTTTAGAAAAAAATCGAAAATAAAAAAATCATATCTGCTTTATTACGAACGATCTTGAAATGATTTTTGTGTTAATTACAGCTAAAAGCATGTATATCAACCTTCGAGCGGGCGCGCTGCCATAAAATTTATGATCATTTTCGTTTTTATAATACAGGTCCATTTAACGTAAGAGAAGCGGTTATCTCAAAAACGGTTCATTTTACATAAAAATGAACCAAATGAAAGTTGTTCTGTACGGAGGAGGGGGAAACCATATGACGATAACATTTTTTGACCTTGACCTTATTTTCAAGGTTATATGAAGGTCACGACCAATTTTTTAAATGGCATTTTATTGTAAAATCTGAATCTGTGGATAAAAGTAAAGTAATTAAATAAAAAAATGTGTGGTTTTGCTAGTACAAAGGAAAACATTTTTTGAAAAAAATTGATATTTCTTCAGAAACAATTAACTAATGTTTATAATATAGCAAGAACAAATAAGATTTATGAATTTTTAAACATTTTCCTACCCGCTTCGATACATTATCTTTAGTGTCTTAATTCTTAGAATACTATTTAAGAATGCTCAACAAAAAGAATCCAGAAGAGGTACATCGGGTGACCTGGCTCATCGGAAATACCTTTGGAAAGAGGTCTAAAAGGTTTCGACATTTTTCCACCTTTGTCAATTTGATAATACGATAACGCATAAAAAACAAGAGTTCGTGGAACTGCTTATGTCGGCATTTTCAGAATATCGCTTTCAGAGACTTAATTGGTTGAATTGTTTTAAAATGTAACGAGTAAAACTAAATTTGCATAAAGACTGCTTGGCAACTAATTCTGAATTCATTCCATCGTTTTACATTAAGGCAAAGTGTTTAAACTAAGTCATTAAGTCATGGATACTCTAAGTAGGGCAGAAAAAGTCGAAATGATTTTTATTTATGGAGAAGGTGGCAGAAAAGTTGCTGATAGTATAGCTTTGTATCGAGAACGTTTTCCTGATCCAAAAACGCAACAAGTTTTATGAAGGTGATTTTGAAAATCGATTAATATTTTATAAATGGGCACAAGAACGAATGCGGTTGGACGTCAATTTCTTTGGTAACGTGCTATTCTCGGATGGGTCTACTTTTACAAACACAGGACAAGTCAATAGACAGAACATGCACTATTGGAGCTTCGAAAATCCGATATTGTTGCATGAAGTAGAACATCAACGACCTTGGTCGGTTAATGTTTGGTGTGGCATAATATGTGGTAATAAATTGATCGGTCCATACTTTATTGATGGTATGCTGAATGGGAAGAAGTACCGACATTCTGACGTCCTACCAACGTTACTTGTAAGTTTGAGCAGGGAAGAAAGACAAAATATGTTTTTACAAACGTGAAGCTTTAGATCGGGATTAAACTGGGCGATGGATTAGAAGGGGAGATCCAACTTCCTGGCCTGCCAGATCACCTAATTTAACACCTCTTGATTTTTTTTTGTGGGATGTCCTTAAGGATAGTGTTTATCGCGAAATACAGACTACGCCAGAAAACATGAAAGAGCGGATAAAAAATGCATGCAGAAATAGTAGCCAAGAAAACCTTTTAAAATGTGAAGAAAGTTTTAGTAGAAGGGTTAATAAATGTATTGAAGTGGGTGGAGAAATATTTGAACATTTATTATAAATTTTATACCTGTTGTTGATTAATAGTATAGTTTAATCATTTTTTATAAATAAACAATATTTAAAACTATTTGAATAAAAAAATTATTCTGTATTATGTAAAATGAACCGTTTTCGACATAATCGCTCGTCTCACTTTAAATGGACCAACCTGTATATCTCCTTATATTATGCATTTGAAAGGATTTAATGCTAAGGTATTCATGTAACTAAGTATTTAGAACATGATGCAAAAAACTTTATCTTTATCTTTATAACAAAAAAAGTTATAAAAGACAAAAAATGTACACATTAATTGATGATTTATAAGGACCGTATATACAGGGTGCCCATTATGTATGGAATATAGTATATATCGCATATCATATATGGCAATGTACCCTTTGATTAGGCTTATTTGATAGAGATTTATTTTCTTTTTACGATGACGTAAAATTTTAGTACCCTTATATCAGAAAATTTTTGAAAAAAATTTAAAAATTGTTTATTAAGAAAATTTAACTAATAACATTAATCTAGACATCCGAGATCGTCAAGTACCTGGAAGTACCTGGAATTATTGGAGATGTACACTAATTTTTCGTTTATTTGTTTTATTGTGTATGTAAATTTAATTTACAGTAATAATTCGAGGTACTTGACGATTTCGGATATCTAGATTAATGTTATTGATTAATTTTTATTAATAAACAATTTTTCCATTTTTCTCAAACATTTTCTGATGTAAGGATACAAAAATTTTACGCCATCGTAAAGAGAAAAGTAATCTCTATCACATGAGCCTACGGAAAGAATACATTGCCATTTAAAAAAAAATAAGTATTATTCGTTACTCATTTGTTTTCTGAATTAAAAACAATTGAATGCAGTCTTATTATGGCAAATAAAATATTAAACAACTTTTGTATAAAATGTTATTTTATAAAGTTGATACCTACCAAGATATATACTATATTCCATACATAATGGGCACCTGTATATTACGAGATGTATTAAGGAATATAAATACATTATAAACAGGTTTTGAGTCACAGGTCCGTAATGACAATTTTGTCGGAATCGGAATTCTTTTCATCTTTTCAATATTTCAATCTTTTCGGTTTCTGGAACCGTGAGTTTATGGAAATACTCAATATATTCATAGGCTTAAGACGACTAAACCTGAATGTTTCTAATTCTAGGTCTAATGTTAGGTCTAGTAACAGTGGTAGGTGGCGCTAGTTAACATAAGATATTACTATGTTGCATATTCTAATTGAACTAAAACTAGAACTAACACTAGACCTAGAATTAGAATCATTCGGGTTTACCCGAAACTTTCTATTTCTAGGTCTAGTATTAGTTCTAGTTTTACACTAGCACTATCACTAGAACTAACACAATACCGAGAAGTAGAATCATTTGGATTTAGCCTTCTTGAGAGACGCACGGCTAAACCCGAATGTTTCTAGGTCTAGTATTAATCCTAGTTTTAATTGTTATTCAGCGTTTGATTGTGGGATATTTTTTTTGAACGAAAAGTGGAACTAACACTAGACTGTAATCAGAAACATTCTGGTTTAGCCGTGCGTATCTTAAGACGTACGAAAGCTCAAGATTATCATAAGGACGTCACCTTTTTCCAAGTAAAGCTACCCAATGCCTGTACTATTAAGCTATGTTACATTTTATGTGGGACAGTCCAAGTGCATAGTAGTTTCGTAACTATGGTTGCTGCATTCATATATTGTGACTTATATGAAATTCCCAGTATGTAATTTGTAAATGTTGTTAGATTTGAAAAATTAATCGATTTCATTTTATGTTTTTAACAATTGTTTAATATAAATTAAATATTTTTACTCTAGAAAAATGTGTGTTTTAACTGTTTTATTAAAAATAACGTAATACTTATTATTTACTTGGTGGCGATAGACCAAGACCTTTCTTAGGTTGCAAATTTTCTGTCTCTCTTCTCCGCTAGTCTAACGGAAGAAAAGTGTTTTCAGAAGGCATCTGTTGATTTGGAAATCGTTCCAAATACATTGCGTGTACAGCGTTTTCTTCAGCAGCTCCATAAACAATAAGCATATCTACGTATTACTCATTACTGTAAATTGCCATTGTACTTTTTGATTTGTAATAGTTCTAATTTTGTCGTTAAATGCCTTATATATTGCTTATTAAAGTGTTAAATGACATGTCTGCTGCTAAGTAACCAAATCAACTGGATTGGCAGCAATAAACACATGATATCAGCCCACAAGTATTAGCCAAGGACAATAGAATCTAACAGAACTGCTAAATCCATTGTTGTGACAACGTGCCCGCATACTACGGCACACCATTTGCCACGCCAAATAAATTTATGCCATGCCAAAGGTCTATCATATAACCTCTAAAAACACATAGAGAACGCATAGAATTCAATGACAGTTAACTGGGCGTGGCAAATAGTGTGACGTAGAGTGCGGGCAACCAATCCATAGTGGGCTACAAAACAACAATGGATGTAACAGTCCAGTTAGATTCTACTGTACTTGGTATCAGAGGTTCTCAACAAACAAACACCAGTTTTTGTGCGTTTTAACAAATTTTTAAATAGATGTAA